CTGGAGAACCTCCAGTGACCAGTATGTCTGAGATATGGAGCTACTGGCCCTGCATGGAATACTCCAGAGGTAACTAATGGAGCTATAACGCAGTTGTTTTGCTCTTCAGCAACGAACATATCTCCTCCATTACTAGGAGCCTCATTTTTATGATCCCACATACCTGGGCTTGTCATACTCTGGAGGCTTGAGTCTTATCCATGGCCCAGATTGATATTGACTGGAGTTTTTTCTTAACGGGCACGGGAGTCTCCATACCAATAGGAGTATTAAGACCAATGAATCAAAAGGTAAAGCACTGAAGGAAGAAGCCTTCTGGACGAAGAGGTGATATTTTCTAGGTCCCAGAACAAGAGCAGTTCCAGGGACAAGTTTCGACCTCTCTTCTGGTGCTAAGAGGAAAAGCACATGAAAGCCTACACTGGACCTAAGAGGGGCCAACAAGAGGCTGAATGTTAGTCTTCAGGATGGAGTCAATCAGATCCATATCTCAAGCAATCTGGAAGGATAATTTCCTTACCTCTATATATCTCAAGGATGCTTACTTTCAGTCCAATCTGCAGAGATCTTCGGCATTAGCTCAGAAGAGAACTTCCATGTTAGTGCCCTACCATTTGGCCTCAATGCGGCCCCAAGAATCTTTCTATGTGCTTATAGTGTTATTGAGAGTCCAGAACTCCACCTGGTTCCATTATCTGGAGGATCTACTTGTGATAGCCTTAGACCCTCAGAAGGCAGGCACACATAGGTATATAGTTCTTTCATAACTCCTAAAGTTTGGCTGCTTGATGAATATCAAGAAAAGCAGTTTCAGACCAGCTCAGTGATTGACATTCCTGAGTGGAAAATTCTAGGCTCTGCTTTTCCCTATCTCGGGAACAGTTCCACAGATTGTAAAGGTTTTCTCTCCCAGTTTCTTCATTTCTGCTTGGTAACAGCAAGAAAATAGATGCAACTACTAGGAATCCGGGCTTCCACCAGCAGACTTGTCAGAGGGGCCCAATGGCATCTCTGGATTCCTTACAGATCCTTCCTATCTTGGTCTAACAAGAGAGAGATTATTAGAGCCAGCCACTTACTATGTCCCTATCATTGGAGTTGCACCTTACCCTGGCAGCTGAAAGAGGGATTGGATCTCTGAGTTTCCAGTGAACAGAACCTCACTGGTCAATTATTAGCTCGAATTCCAGTTTTTATAAGATTGGTTGCACAGTGTTTGGACCATGTTGCACAATATTTCCATTCATTTGTATGGAATTAAGAGTCATTTTCTAGGCTCTTCTTCACTTCAGAGGCTTGCTGAAGAATGAGTGGGTCCAAATTTGCTCAAATTTCAATGCAACTGTATCCTATATCTACCAAGATGGGTCTCACAGATACGTATTGATGGAATTCCAGCCCATAATGATCAGGGCACAGAAGAACAACCAGTGGCTCAGAATACCATGGCTGTTTGCTGGAGCCGAATAACTGTGGACAAGGTGGATTGGCAACCATGTCCTGATGGATCCTCGTGGTTGATGCAGATTGTCTGATGGCCATTTCTTGGAACTACCAGGTCCAGAAGTATTTTTTACATGCTAGGACCAGAATGCTCAGGTTCAGGATATACTGGCTCAAATTTAGAATTTTAGTTTGATGTACATATTTTCCTGTTTTCGACCTTCTTAAAAAGGCAATGTAAAAGGTGACAGTGGAAGACTGTGTCGACTCTAATTCCTATGATGAATAAGATGATTCTGGAACCTCCAAGGGAAATTCCTGTACGTCCAGACCTATTACAAGGCCCCATGACACACCAGGATCCTCAAGTTCTGGTATTGATGCGGGAGTCCATATTAGTATAGGCATCCCTGAGACGGTCATTGAGATCCTCTTACAATCCTATACAGGCTTTACTAAGCTTGATATGCTTTTGTCTGTTGGAATTACTCTTCGTTCAGGCCTTGAAAGGTTCTGTGTTAGAACACTCTAGAGGAACACTTAGCTGCACTTTGCTTCATATAGGCATTGATTGAAATCATGCCTCCACTGAGTGTGGTGAAGCCAATATGTGATGTACCAATGGTCACACGAGCCCTGACTGAACCATTATTCGAACCTCTAGAAGGAGCTTCCATGGTGGTAGCACAGAAAGTGCTGGTGGCTGGTACCCCAGCAAGAAAAATGGGTGAACTCCAGGCTTGATCCTGTGAACCCCCTTTCACTACTTTTCAACAGATATGGTCGTCTTGCATTTGGCACCAGAAGATCCTGTCTATGGTGAATGCTTATCCATGTCATTCTCTACCTGTACTGAAGGGTACCGATTGAGCGTTGATGCCCCTGGTGCTTTGCTTCATGTAAGCAACAATTGAACTCAAGCCTCCGCTGAGGGTGTTGAAACCAATATGTGACGTACCACTGGTCTCACAGACTCTGACTGTACGTCTATCAAGAGCTTCCATGATGTTAGCCCAGACGTTGCTGTTGCTGGTGACTGGTACCTCAGCAGGGTGAATGTGTGCACTTGCGGCACTTTGCTTCATATAGGCATTGATTGAAATCATGCCTCCACTGAGTGTGGTGAAGCCAATATATGATGTACCACTGGTCTCACAGGCCCTGACTGAACCATTATTCGAACCTCTAGAAGGAGCTTCCATGGTGGTAGCACAGAAAGTGCTGGTGGCTGGTACCCCAGCAAGGGAAATGGGTGAACTCCAGGCTTGATCCTGTGTACCCCCATTCACTGAATTTCAACAGGATATGCTTGTCTTGCATGTAGCACCAGTGATCATGCCCAAAGTGAGAGCCTTTCAATGCCATTCTCTACCTGTAGCAAAGGATTTGGGGCATTCTCCACTAGTGCTGTTACAGCATCTCATGGGCTTCCATGGCAATGGTCTCTGCTGAAACTTTGTAAAGTTGGCATTTTGAGCTCTTTGAACTAGTTTGTCCTGCATTACATATTGGACATTGAAGCAATTAATGAGGCACAATTTGGACGTCACGTCCGTTCTCTACCTGTGCTGGAAGGTATCAGGGCACTCTCCTCTCATGCTGTTGCAGCATCATGGGTTGCCATGGCAATGGTTTCTGCTGACACTTTTTGTAAGCTAGCATTTGAACCTCCTTTAGACACGTTTGTCTGGCATTTCATACTGTTCGTTAAAACAGTCTATGATGCACAATTTGGTACTCAAGTACTTAACTCAGTTCATTCTTCTATCTATGTTGAATTATTCTGATAATTTGATTGGCTATTCTGTCCCTCCCTTTGTAAGCTTGGGTATTCCCCATGTGTATATGCTGCCATGATTAGCCAGGAAAGTGGAAAATGTATTCATACTTACCGTAATTTTCTTTTCCTGGCTATTATTCATGGCAGCATATACTTCCCTCCCATTAATGTCTCTATTTATGTACTGTAGAGCTTGTAAACTGACTGAGGACCTTAGGGATGGAGCCTCCTTTTAAAACCTTGGTGGTTTTCCTGTCCTATCGGCTGTAGGGGAGGAGCTAACCCATGTGTATATGCTGCCATGAATAATAGCCAGGAAAAGAAAATTACGGTAAGTATGAATAAATTTTCCACTATATTTATATTAATAGTAAAATACACCTAGACAGTGTATGTATGTATATATTATATATATAATATATATATATATATATATATATTATATTTATATTATTTTTTTTACACTGATTAACTTTTTTTTAATTTTATTTCCAGCCAGCAGGGGGACCACCTGTCATTACAGGCAGCCCCCCTGCTGGTAATGCTGCAGCCAGCTGTCCCGGCCATGTGATTGTGAGGTCCTCGCAAGGACCTCACTCTCACATGGCCGGGGGGGCTTCAGGAAGAAGATCTGCCGTGGGGGAGGGGGGGAGGGGGCTCCCTGGGAGTCCCCCCAACCGCGATCACCGGCGTGGGACCGCCGGCGACCGGGTAAGTAAGAAAAGACCGGAGGGGGTACTATTACGCCCGGGCGTTTATAGCCGCCTAAAATAGGGCGTAATAGTACGCCCTCTGGTCTTAAGGGGTTAAGGTTAAAAAAGCCAAACTGGAAACATTCTCTAAATTAGCAATGCTTTCCATTCAGCTATCCTGGCCTTAAATGTAAAATTCACTGTGAATTCTCACTTCAGTGAAAAACTTCAAAATGTCTGATTATTGCCCGGTTTATATTTCAATATTCAATATTTTTCAATATGAACCACAGGCCTTTGAAACAGGAATACATAAATATGCTACTAAATGTTTTTACAAAGCAAAAATTAAAATATAAAAAATAAATAAAACAAATTTGCTCTTGCTGTGCAAACCTCTGTATTATTATTAATGGTATTTATATATATCACCAACATATTCCATAGTGCTTTACAATATTATGAAAGGGGAAAATTTAACAATAAACGAGACAATTACAAAATGTAACAGGAACAACAGTTAGATGAGGACCCTGCTCAGACGAGCTCACAGCATAGTAGGAGTACCAAATATTTTTAAAATAGAATTATTATTCATCTATATACCTATACTACTTGCGTATAGAGAGAGTGATTTTTTTAACCGGTCCAATATATAGAAAGAACCTGACTAGTTTTGGCCTCTTACACATATAATGTATATAATACATTTGATAGTTTTGGCCTCAATAATCTGCTGTATTTTCTTGTATGCACCAATCTTTGTAGATTTTACAAAACAAAGAAATATTTTTCAGAACGCCCTATCTTTCATCTCTGTCCCTAAAAGTATGAGGCCAGGGAACTAAGTCAGGATGGCGGGACAGGACCCAAAAATCTGGACTGTCAAACCGGAATCAGGACAGTTGGGAGGAAGGCCGGTCCAAAACATTGCACTGCCTGGGTCCAAGGATGAAATGTTGACCCCCCCCTCAAAACCACGCCCAAGAAAACATGCCCCCTATATTCATATATTAATTATTTGTTTCCTGGGCTATGTGTACTAAAGTTATTAAGATATATGTGCAACTAACATGACATATAAATTAAGTACAGGTCTTTACAGCCTCAGTGAAATCCGGCCAGAGCTTCAACAGTTCATCTGGACCATAATGATGTACCATAACAAGCTTTGCAAATTGGCATCGGTTATAGCGAAACCTCTCTCCTACAAACCAAGCTCCCAAAGGCCTGGAGATCTTTACTCCTATGATCTCCAAACATATGCCCATAAAGACATCTTCATACGGGAATAAGGGTATGCTCTCTTTTGCGGTGTTTATTTTATCTGCCAAGTCTCCGGAGAAGATGTAACCTGTACCAGAACAATATGGTGGGTAGTGGGTTTTGGAGTACATGGAGGTTGGCATGTACCATTTACTGTCTTTGTTTCTGTAGGGAATAGCCTTCTCCACAACCAATCCACTGAAGAATCCAACCTTTGCTGGTTTCTGTGGCTGCAAAATGTGTTGAACCAAAAACCAAGGGTTGAAAAACATGTCACTATCTATCTTCATAACATAACTAACATTTGGGCATAGTCGGCTAATCCACTCTATGCCCATCAAAGTCTTGAGTGTTAGATTGTTGTAGGAATCTAAGAAATCCTGCTGGATAATATCATGGAAGACCTCACTTTCTCTTTTCACTTCCTCTTGGACACTTGTGTTTAATGAACTTCCCAAAAGAAAAAGTCTCTTGATTGAGATCCCATCGACCAAGTTTTCATTGGCCCAAGTTTTCCTTAAGACATCTCTGATGAGGGCGTCTTGTGGACTTGAAGGGATGAGCAACATCAGAAAAGGTGGACCTCCGGCGCACTTTGTGTTCTCTTCTATGAGATAGTGACCTGAGCTATATCCTAAAACAGGTTGTATAGTTATGGGACTGACAGTGCCTTTATTTATATTCTTATTATAGCTCAGAGACACAATCAGAATTATCAGCAGCCAGGACATAGCAACAATACCAGTTCTGGTACATTTCGGAGGCAAAGCCATTAACAGGAGTTCTTGAAAGATCTTACTTAAAGTATTTCTATAAAAGAAGAACAAAAGAACAAGAAGTTGCATTAATGTGACTTTTCCAAGTGGCATGCATCACAATATATTTATTTAGAAAATATTTTACATTGAGATTTCTCTGATTTTCAAGTAGGTCTTGGATCCAAAAAACACTGCATGTTACAATACGATACAATATAATAAAAATACAATATACAAACTATATATATATATATATATATATATATATATATATAAATAAACACACACACGTATAAATTTAATACATAACAGGTAAATATATTCAACCATGACAGGTGCATTCTGTGCTGAGGTATATTGCCATAGATCTCTTAAGATTTTAGATAGAATGAAGACTTGACGGAGTCTCTGAGGTTATTCCATAATTCCGGTGCTCTGTAGGAAAATTAGGATCAAGCCACTTTATTTTTGCATTGCAGTATGCTAAATATCGTGCTGGATCGGAGGTTATAGGAGGTGGGAACAGTCGTGGAGAGCATTCTACTCAGGTAGGGTAGGAGCCTCCCAGAAAGGCTGGGAAGATGAAGAGTGCATTAGGATTCCAGTGACAGCCAGTTTAGCTCTTTTAACATGTCACAGCGGTGGGTAAAGTAATTACAGTATATACTCGAGTATAAGCCGACCCGAATATAAGCCGAGGCCCCTAATTTTACCACAAAAAACTGGGAAAACTTATTGACTCGAGTATAAGCCTAGGGTGGGAAATGCAGCAGCTACTGGTAAATTTCTAAATTAAATTAGATCCCAATAAAATTACATTAATTGAATATTTATTTACAGTGTGTGTATATAATGAATGCAGAGTGTGTGTATATAATGAATGCAGAGTGTGTGTTTGTGTGTGTATATATAATAAATGCTGTGTGTGTGTGTGTTTGTGTGTGTATATAATGCAGTGTGTGTAAACTGGATGAGGGGAGGGAATTTTTATTTTTTAAGTTTATATTATTTTAATATTATTATATTATTATTTTAATAATATTATTATTTTAATATTTGTATTATTGTCCCCTCTAGCTGCTTGTTGCCTGGTCAGGGAGGGGGGACAAAAATTTTTTTTAAAAAAAATAATTCAAATATTAAAATAATAATATAATAAAATAATATTAAAATAATATAATATTAAAATAATATTTTATTATTATATTATTATAATTTTAATATTTGCATAATTTTTTTAAAAATGTTTTGTCCCCCCTCCCTGGCCAGGCAACAAGCAGGGAGGGGGGACAAAAAAAATAAAAAAAATAATGCAAATATTAAAATAATAATATAATATTATTTTAATAATATTATTGTATTATTAAAATAAAATAATACTGAATCCCTGGTGGTCCAGTGGCATTGGCAGTTCAGTGGGGGGCTGACAGCGAGCTCTTACTTACCTTCCTGCAGCTCCTGTCAGCTCCCTCCTCCTCCGTGCAGCTGTCGGTCAGCTCCGTTCTGTTTACAGTGCAAGTCTCGCGAGACTTATACTGTGAGCAGAACGGAGCTGACCGGGGAGCTGCACGGAGGAGGAGGGAGCTGACAGGAGCTGCAGGAAGTTAAGTAACCGCTCACTGTCAGCCCCCAACAGGACCGCCGGGCTTGTAATGAGCCCGGCGGTCCTGGTCTGTATTGTGGCAATGTAAATTGCCACAATACAGACATTGACTTGAGTATAAGCCGAGTTGGGGTTTTTCAGCACAAAAAATGTGCAGAAAAACTCGGCTTATACTCGAGTATATACGGTACATTCTAGTACAAATTGGCAGTACGAATTATATAACGTATTAAGTTTATTAAGGTGGGTTTGAGGTGCGGGTACATACACTACATCCCCGTAATCAATGACCGGCATTAGCATTTGTTGCACTTATTGTAGAGCTTAGGCAGGATTTGTTTCTGTACAGGGCACCTAGTTTTGGATAGCGTTTTGAAGAGATTTTTTCAATGTGAAGGCCAAAGGATAGATTGCGGTGTAGCAGCATACCTAGATATTTTAATGAACAGACTGCTGTCAGTGAGCTATTTGAATTTGTTCTGATACACAATTGTTGATTTTGTAGTTTATGTAATTTAGGTACAGTTCCAAAGATCATTATAACAGTTTTGTCAGTGTTTAGGAAGAGTTTGTTAACTGCTATCTACTTTCTACCTCTGTTAATTGGTTTTGGAGCACAGTCTCAAGGTGCGGTAGATTGGGTTTGATAATGTAGATTACAGTGTCGTCTGCATACATGTGTACAGTTGAGGATTTGCAGACATTAGGCAGTTTGGTAAAGCCCAGCTGCGGGGGGAAAGTTCTAGCTGTATAATTACGGCTGGTCAGGAGGCAGAATGCTACCTCCCCTGTAAGATCACAGAAGAGACCGTGGGCGACAGGACGATAGCGGACTTAGTCACTGTTGGGAAACCTGAGAGCTACCACTAGCCTAGGAACATAATGGCATCTAAACACATCACGTTCACTCCTACTGCATGTATATTGCATACGTGGTCTTCTTTCCCTTTCTCTTGCTCTACTTACTACTGGGAACCTGCGAGTCCCACCTATACAACTGTCCTGCCTTTTGGTACTTTTGTTTATGAACACCTTAATAAAAAGATATTTTCAAAAAAAAAAAAAAAAAAAGAGCTTGGACTGAAAAATTAAATTGCAAAGTCTAGATCTAGGATTAGACATAATCTGTGCCATGGTAGGCAAGGATGTGTCTACCGCGAGGTAAACAAGGCATTGGCCTTGGACGGCAATTTCCAGGGGGAGGCAAAAAAACGCCTCCCCCAAATGCCCAGGCAAATACCTTGTTTGCCTCGTTTTATGGGAGCCCAAGAGCTGGCAGGCTGGCCACCTTTGGGCTCCCCCGGGCTGAGCAGGGAGCTGAGCAGAGAGAGCTCAGGGGAAAGTGCTCCCTCGCCGCCCGACCTGCCTGCACTGGACCCCAGATGAAATATCCACTGAGCTATCCCAAAAGTAGGGAGGCTAGGTGGAT